AAGTATCTGACTCTATGCTGGTAAACACTGTATTGATGCTTGTCTACATCACTAAATTCTTTTGGTGGGAAGCTGGGTACTGGTGCACTATGGATATTGCACATGACAGAGGTAGGTAAATTATTTTGTTTCTCCTGAGTTTTTGTTTCTTTACATATGTCTTAGATCCCCACATCTGAACATTAGTAAGTGACTGGATCCTTGGATCAGGATATTTTGTAATTTATTTATGTCCTGATATAGAGATAACCGATAGCTATGCAAATACATTAAGTTCATTCAGTCTCAAGTTCTTTAGCTTGTTTGAGATGATAGGATGGTTTTTGTATAACATCATTGCAGAATTTTCTCTTCAATTAAATTGCTAATGTCAATTTTACAATTAGAGTCCAAAACCTAAATCATGTTAAGCAACTCATGCAATTTTGCATTTTGTTGCACTCTTTGCTCAGCTGGATTCTATATCTGTTGGGGATGCTTGGTATGGGTTCCATCAATCTATACTTCCCCTGGGATGTACCTTGTCAACCATCCTGTTAGCCTAGGCACCCAGGTAAATAATTTGTCTTCTCCTAATTCATAATTGCATGAAACATGAAGTATTTACTCAAAGTGTGTGCTTTTTTTTGTTTTTTCTTTAACTGGCAAGCATTGAACTTCTTGATCGTGTTTTTAATGGGTCCTTTGCTTTGCAGCTTGCACTTTTCATACTTGTGTCTGGACTTCTTTGCATCTACATTAATTATGACTGTGATAGACAAAGGCAAGAATTCCGCAGAACAAATGGGAAGTGTTTGATATGGGGAAAAGCTCCATCAAAGGTTTGATCTTCTTCACAGACCATCTAATCTGGCAATATAACTGTGGACATTCAGAAAATGCTTGCATATGTTTCTGAAATTTTGAACACTTTGACCTTGACAGATTGTAGCCTCCTATCGTACCGAGAAAGGGGAGACAAAGACCAGCCTTCTCCTAACTTCTGGATGGTTAGTCGATGATAGATAAGCATTAAGTGCTGAATCATGATCCGAAGTTGTATTTCTGTATCATTCTTTATATGATTTGTTGAAGATATTTAAACTAATATATTCCATAAATTTATTGACAATGATTTCAAATCATGTTTTGGCTGGGATAATTTGGGTGTTTTCAGAATAAACTTTACTAATTTAGAGGTTCTTGGCAGGTGGGGTGTATCTCGTCATTTCCACTATGTGCCTGAGATATTAGCTGCATTCTTCTGGACTGTTCCGGCCCTTTTTAACCATGTAAGTATTTCTTTATCTGTTATCCTACTTTTTCAGAGATTGATTTTATTTTTTAGGATGTATCTAACTTTTTATTTCTGCGATACAGTTCCTACCATATTTCTATGTGTTGTTTCTGACTATTCTCCTCTTCGACCGAGCAAAAAGGGATGATGACCGGTGTGCATCCAAGTAAGCAAGCTGAATTGCATTGATGATTGGTTTTTCTTTTCATAGTTGCAGTTGTCACACATTTTATCATCAAGGGGACTTAAGTAAATAATTTCTAGGCTATACCTTTAATGAACTGGTGCACATTTTATATCAGATAAACACAATTATTTATATCAGTGGTCACACCAGTTACTCGAAGTTCTCGGGTTGAACTTTATGTGTGCACTTAATCACAGTGCTTTGCATCATTTGGTTGTAGTCAGTTGAGGAACTTAAGGAATTTTTGGTTTATTAGAAACAATGATGCTCCTATCAGCAAATGTAAATGGTCATTTCAGCCTGAATCGATTAGATATTTATGATATGTGAAAGCAAATATATTTATTGTTTAATCCAAATTTTGGGTGATTATGATTCTCTAACTCAATGATTAATCTAGTAGAGGTTATATTTTGAAACCTTATCAATTTTATGACATTTATTAGCATTTATAAGTGTAACATTTTACCTGACATATTTATCAATGTGTACTCTATTTATGACATTTCCTTTTGTGTTTTTAGACTTCACCAGAGTTGATCTTATATATTCTCTGCTATTTTCCAAACTTTTTGTGGTACAGCACATTTCATTGTGGCCATGTATCACTTCAACTTACATAAAAGATAAGCAACATAGACTGAAACAAGAAAAATGATGTATCATGTGGGCAAAGCTAATATTTCTGAGATATACCACAGTTAGCTTCCACTATTTTCAGAACATTTGGGTCACCTGGGAAGATACAAGTTATACAGGATGGCCTGAACTGTTACTGTGGTATTTATTTGACCTGTCTGATAGTATAGGGAATTTGGTGTGCAATTCATTTTCTTGGTTGCTTTTAGACAAAGCCTGCAGAAATAAGGGATAAGCCATGAATCATGGCATGCAAGTGTGGCTATCAAGGAGCATAGTAGGCAAATTGTTAGATTTGTGCACTATAATTTGTTTGACATAGGAGTTGATGCATGGAACTTATTTTCTCATTTATTTTGAGACCCATAGGCACACAATTAAGTCATTAGTTATGACTCTTTGAGTTAACAAGACCAGCCCGGTGTTCTATGCTAAAATTCTAGTAATTTCTTCCTTGTGCTTTCTGCTTCATTAATGATAATTAGGATGGGTGGATGGGGTCTTCCCACCTTGAAAGGAAAAAAATACTGCAGGAGCCAGCACAACTGAATGCAATATTTAGTGTTTACACATATTTGTTACTTCATCATGCATAAACTACAAACTCATATTTCTTGAAAGTACAGCCGAGTGGTTGGCACATGTTTGTACACATGGTTGCAATTTTTTCTACAAGCATGCAGGGAAATTAATGCGGTTTCTTTTCCTGAATATTACATTCTGGAAATGCATTAATCTATGTGGTTGGTTCTTAAGGCAGCAGGCAGTGCCTCTTGTCATTCCTGCCTGGTTTTCATGACCCTAGTTTGGAAGCTGTACTTAATATTGTTGGAATGCATAGTTATCCATCTTATTTACCTGCTTGATGTCATTAAGGTATTTCTCCAGCAGCTTTTCATTCTTACGATCACGGATATACTGTTACAGGTATGGTAAATACTGGAAGATGTACTGCAATAAGGTACCCTACAGGGTCATACCTGGGATCCACTGAGTACTTCTGGTTGGTGGGCCTTTCATGGCAAAAATGCCCAGCACATGAGGCGGCATTGCTTTGCATGCAGTTGAATTTACTTAAGATAATATTTATGCTGTTCAAATTTATGCATGTACTTGTACTAATGCATGTAGTGTGACCCTTAACCATCAGGCTTGTGTGGAGAGTTGTGGATAATCTTTATGGCCATCTTGCTGAGTCAATTTTCCTTTGATGTAATCAAGCCAGTATTATCCAAATCATCATCTTTATGGCTTTTATGTTGGGTAAATTGGGTTTATCTGTGATGATGACATATGTGTGCTTTAATAGTCTGGATTCATTACAGTTTTAAGAAACCAGTTTTATACTAATATTGTGTTTTTCTGATGGACCGAGTCCATCATCAGAATGTAAGAGATGTAGCCAGTCTTCTGTTCACCAAAAAAGGAAATTCTACATTCTATTTTTGTTAACTTGGTCTACGTCACTGGTTTTTATGTAGTCGATAGGGATCTAATATGCCAAGATTCTTGATTAATAGGGATTTGTTAAAAATCATGAATTGGTATCTAAAAACAAGTTTAAGGTGTTTCTTATCCATGCTATATATTGCTATGAAAGTATCTCATACCGAGTCATACGACTATATCAACGCTGTTATGTCAACTGTTCATGTGTAATCGAGAACGTGTCCAAATAATCTGTATTAGATGAGTTAATTATAGATTATTTCTTGTTGTTAGATTATTTCGATCTTTAGACTTAAAAAATTTATATTAAAATTTTTATAATTATACAAATAAAATAATTAGTTTTATTTATCCTAATATCGTCAGTTTTATCGACGAAAACATAAAAATGATATAGGTAAATAGGTAATTTTAATATTCTAATTACGTTTTTGATGATGACGGATGTTGGAGGTCGTAGGCGACTTTTGTAGATGAGAAAGGAGAGCAATGATGTAAATGTCAATAATTGACAACTGTGTCGATGCAAATGCAAAGTAGCAAAAGGGTCACTCGACATCTGTATTGGTGTAGACGTAGATGTAGATGTAAAGCGTCGCTTGACATCTATATCGATGTTGATGCAGATGCAAATGTAGAGTGGAGCTTGCATCTGCGTCAATGTCGACAACGATGCGGGGAAGGACGACATCGCATTGTATTTGTGTCGACACCGATGTAGATGTAGATTGCAAAGCTTTGCTCGACATTTGCATTGACACCGACGTAGATGCAGAGCAACATCGCTCTAAATTTGTATTAGTGCTAATGTAGTTGTTAAGCGATATCGAGCGATACTAATGTAGACGCAAAGCGTTAGTATCTGCATCATCGCCTCACCTCTGGCCATCGCTCTCCCTTATTCATAACAGTCATCCGTGACCCCCAATGACTTCGCTATCTACCACAACTGAAAACATATATTGAATATTAAAATTATCTTTTCGCCTATTATTTTTATGCTTCCATTGATAATACCGACGACCTTATAATAAAAGAAGTTAGATGTTTTACTTTCATAACTATAGATATTTCAATATAAATTTTTTAAGTTTAGGGATCTGAATACTAAAGAGGTCTAACTATAAGGTAATTTATAATTAACCCGCATTAGACTAAGGTAATGGGGTCAAGTAATTAGTTTAGCTAGGAAATCAAAGGATTAATAACAATTAATAGGACATGAGAAAAGAAAATATTGAGAAGTTTGGATTTAGTTTTTACTTAGATTTTAGTTTGATTTCTGAATATCTTTTCTTGGTTTTTTTTTTCCCTTTCCACATTTTGCTACTAATAAACTTATATATGGAAGATCACATTTTACTAATTAACAATTTATATCAATCTTTTAACACTATATATCAATCCTGTTCAAATGGCAGATTTATTATGAAATAAATAAGATAAAAATAACCCAATAGAAAACTATTAATAAGAGAAAGTGGCACCATGTCAGGTGGAGAATTCATCATCAAGCTACCAGCAACCTCAAATCAATCGGCGAATTTAACAGGAAATGAACTCTGCGACGCTTCAATCATCTCCTCCTTCATAAGTCAGATTTGATAGTTCTAAATTTTAGACTTGCATAAAACTTGTGACTGATTAGTGAGAACATCGATCAAAGCCTTATGATCAACCAAACAAAGACAACATTATGAGCCACTTAATGACTGCATTGTTAGATAACAAATGCATCAAACTTTGGAGAGCTAATGGATAAATTTCCTGGTCGATAAATAACATGGCCTCTTAATGCCATTCCATATGCAAGGTCTCTGCTGACTTCATTTCTGCAAGACAAGAAACCAACAAGAAAAGAATTATTCAATTGTACTTTAATCAGTGAATTCAAAAACAAAATGCATCAACATAAATTTAGGAAATTAATCACCAACATTCTTTGTAACTTTGGATAGATTTTCTTTCATATGTGTTTAACATATTTTTATGATACAATTGCACAATTAGGGGTAAACCAAACCGGAAAAACATGCTTGAAAAAGAAAATCCATAAAGAAAATGCAGAAGCATTCAGCATGACAATTCACATAAAAAAAAACTTCAGAAATAAGATTTAAAGACTATAATTTAGTACCTCTAAAGAACTCAGCGCTAATTGATAAATATATAACCAAGGAATGTGAAGGAAAAAAAGAAAAGATTTGTGCAGACCACATGACAGTCTTATCACAGAACGACCTAATCTTGGCAACTGAAGTATGAACCATAGGAAAGAACTCACAGCCAGGACTTCAAAAGGACCAAATGAGATCCGAAATGTTTAGCAAAGTCAACTTTGACTTGTTCCAGTATTTCAAATGCCCTGCAGGAAATGGACATCGTGGAAGAGACATTAATGAACTACCATAATGATGTACCACAGAACCTTTAGCAAAACATAAGGATTGTTCACTTAAACCCAACTGGATCCTGGAACTTTTTTCGATCCTTGATTAACAACCTCCCTCAATCCTGCTTTTTCATCCCACAAACCAATGTCTGCACAAACCCCAGACAACATGACACGCGCTGCAATGTCTTGAGGATCGAGCTCTAAAGTGCATTTAGCTGCATACATCCCAATCTCTAGGTCTCCGTACGTCTTACATCCAGACAGAAGACTGCGCCATATGACCTTATTTGGTTCCATGGGCATACTTCTTATGAAGTCATAAGCCATTTTTATCAAACCAGCTCTGGCAAATAGATCCACCATGCATGCAAAATGATCAATCTTTGGAGTGATGTCATAATCCTTCATATTTTGAAAATGAGACTGACCTTCTTCCACTAGACCCACATGACTACAAGCAGATAGAACTCCGATGAATGTTATGTCATTAGGTTTGACATTTTCCTCTTGCATCCTTCTAAATATGTCCAGTGCTTCTCTCCCAAAGCCATGTTGTGCATACCCAACAAGGATGCTATTCCAGGAGACTAAGTTTTTAAATGCCAATATATTGAAAATTTTATCAGCATATTTCAATCTTCCACACTTTGCATACATATCAATGAGTGCACTTCCCACGACTACATGACTGTCAAGTGAAAACTTAATTACCTTACCGTGTGTCTGAGATCCCCACCCTAACCCTGGTAAATTAGCACAAAGGTTCAAAATACTTGAATAGGTGTACGGATCTGGATTTACACCTTCAACCAACATCTTTTTCAGACAGTTTCTTGCTCCTTCAAAATCCCTTTGTTTGACATAACAGTCAACCATGGAGTTCCATGATACTATATCTCTTTCTTCCATATATTCAAACAGTTTGGAGGATTCCTTGATCAATCCACATTTAGCATAGAATTCCATTACTGCATTGCCAATATGTGCAGACATTTTAAAACCCTGTTTTACAATTAATGAGTGGATCTGCCTCCCTACTTGAACTGCACCTGTGCTTGAACACGCAACAAGTGCAGTAGGAAAAATGTGCTCATTGGGTCTCAACCCAGAAAGGAGCAATTCTTTAAAGAGAACCAAAGCTTTCTCCCCTTGACCATGTTTTGTGAAACCCCCTATCAGTGCAGCCCAAGTTGCCAAACCTGGCTCCTCTAGCTCAGAAAAAGTTTGGTGAGCCAAATCCATCTTGCTGCAGTTGGCGTACATATCAACAATGCCTGCTTCTACATATTGGTCAGATCCATTTCCAGTCTTAATAGCAAGGCAATGCAGTTTCTTCCCAATCATTGGATCCCCCAGGTCAGCACAGGCGCTCAGGGTGCTTGTGATCATGAACTCATTAACCTCAACCCCCTCCTTCATTGCCCATGAGAAAACCCTCAAAGCTTTCTCATTTTCTCCACAATAGACATAGCCTGAAAGAATTGAACCCCAAGAAACCAAACTACGATGAGTAGCGCCATCAAATACCCTTTGTGCAAGGATCATCATGCGACACTTAGCATAAAAATTAATCAATGAATTATCAACAAAAACACTCATAGCACCCAGCTCGACCCGATAAATCCGTCCATGGATCTCCTTCCCGATCCTGACGGCACCAGCACTGGCACAAGCCAAAAGAAGACCAACATATGTGTAGTGGTTCGGATCCAAACCTGTCGACACCATCAACCTAACAGAATCGATAGCATCATCTGCAAGGCCTAATCTGGAATACGCAGATATCATGATTGTCCATGAGACGACGTTCTTATGGGGCATATGATCGAACACCGTGCGAGCATCACCAATGCGACCGAGCTTGGTATACATTATCAGGACACGGTTGCTAACGATGATATCGGGAAGGAAAGCTGAGACGATCAGTTTGCTGTGGGCGAGTTTCCCTCGGGCGAGGCACCGAGCGCCGCCAAGCGCTCGGAGGAGGCCTTGGAGAGTCATGAACGGAGTTCTCAGGGGATAACAATGGCTGTTGGTTGTTCTGTGGGATCTCGTACATGTCTCTTGTTATGAGAACGGAGACAGTGATATGGGTAGATATCAGCAGGAGCAGCAGATCATCGATGGGAGAGAAGACGAGCAGAGGACTGCGAGCACGTAACGAATTGGAATTACTTGCGGCGCCGAGACTTCGATGAAGTCCCCTGTACAAACCACAACTCAGTTCATGATTCAAGTCATGAATTGTGGGTAACCCGCCGCCCTCGAGGCGGAGCTCCGGAACTGGCCCTCGTGTCCGGAGGCGGAGGACTGCGAGCTGTCGGCGCGGCTGCTGAAGCCAGTGGAGGACACGGTGGCGGTGAACGGCTTGGAGTTCTTCGCCGCCGGGATTGGGTCGACCAGCGGAAGGCGGCGGGTGGGGCAGCGACGGTAGTTTCAAAAAGAATGTTAGGAGTTTACTTTTCGGAGGCTTTTGACAATCTCTCACTATTTATAGCTTCATGAAAAAATAATAAAATAATATTTTATTATTTATAATTCTTTTAATTTAGAATTTATTTATTTTTTTCATTCCTCACGAGTCACATCCACTCGTTCCCTGCACACCCGACTGCTATCGAGAAGCGCTCGTTGGTGTCAATCTGTTTATAATCCGCTCGTTGCTATTGAGAATGTCACAAATAAATATTTCAATAAATATTTAATATATATTATAAATTATAAATATAAACTTTGTAAGTTTTAAATTATCACATAACAAATGATCCAATATGTTTTATCGTATCTAAAAGTCCTCGTAAGTGCTAAGATGATATTATTACGGAATAAGATAGCGAATCAATCCTAGATACTACTTCAAAGGTCCATCTAGGCATATACCACTCAGGTAGCTCTAAGGTGTTATGCTGGTTGATATTCTGCGAAGCTAGAAAATCCTCAAGATTGTTGTTTGGATGGTCTATTTTTAAAAGAATGAGAAAGCCAAACCTATTGTAAGCCTTCTTCATGTTGTGCAAAACATAAACAAAATTGAAATATATAAATATACATAAACATTACATCGAACACATTATGTACAAACTTATCCATGATATTCTTGTTCATTTATTCTTTTGATGTTCTCGTTGAAGCCTTTAAGGACGTTATATCTTTTCACCTTTGTTGAATATTCAAAGCACCTCCCTTGACTTCCAACTGCTTTCTATCACTATTCTTGAATAATCAAACTTTGATCCTCTAAAGCTACTTTAACTCGAAAGTGACTCTAACCTTAGCATGGGGTAAGTCGAGTTGTGCTTATCTTTGTTAATTCCCATGGATCTCTCGCATCGCTTGAACACGATAGATATTTATTAGAGCTTTAACGAGCATCATCCCATAGACTTTGAAGTTTTTGATATATTTCCTTTACAAAATTTACCCATCAAATTCTCATGTGCTTAGTCGTCTTTTCCAAGTATGTTCACATCGCTTCCACTGTTGATTGATATTATATTAGAAAATGAAGTGGACAATCTAGTCTTGGTAGAATCGATCACTATTGGTGATGATTTGATAATTATTGTCTGTGTCGCTGAGCCTCTTCGAATGGTTTTTAAATATGTGTAAGGCTCATTTACTAGATAACTACGAGAACTAAGGTACTATGTTTTGCCCATTCTCTCAAGAATTGAGAAGGCTAAGGGTAGACTTTATCAATCTCCTTGAGAGTTGTACTTCGTGCATCAAGTTGGTTACTAGCTTTCACTTGTTCTTTGCTTATATTTCTAAAGCACATGAAGTATTTGCACTCCTTGCATTCAATTAGCTATAGTGATTCATTTTCTCATTACCATCGAACTTCTTAAATGCAAAAAATTTTACCCGCAAAGAGCAAAATTTTGTCTTGACTAGCAAAAGTCTTTATTGGTTTTAGTTGTCTCTAGGATTACATCATCTTCTCTATCATTTTTGTTACTTACTCATCTAAGTAGAAATAGTACAACACCACATATTATCTACTTCGTTATTTAGTTGAGCACTCTCGTATTGAACTAAAGTCTCTTATTTTTTACTATCTTGATGAGAAGCCCACCGATACTAATTATACAAAGTTTCTTAGCTCATGCCCTTTTTGTCTTGTCCCAATAGTATGTTTTTTTCCTCGATGAGAATAAGGGATTAATGACTTTATAGAAGTCTCACGTTTATGTTACGGTAGCATTGTCAAGCCTATAACTCTACTATCTATTTCCATCCATATATATATTTTCCGAAATAACCATAGATTACTTTGATTATATTTTCCGATGGACAATATCTTATTTTAATTAAAACCATTTGAATGACTAATTAAATCTTTGCATAGTTCCTTAATAAGACTGTGAAGAGTTTAAGGATGCATACTAAAGGGAAGGTTAAGGATGCTATGGTAAAGATCATAGAAGTTTAATGTTCTTTCAAAACAACTTTAAGCACAGATCCATCAAAATGGTAGAATTCGATGAAGAAATAATAATTCTCAAACGAGTTTTAACTAAAAAGAGATATTAATGAATAACTAATAGATCATAATGAGCAAACAAGAATTATTGCGATACAAATAGAAAATAATAAAAAAAAGATTCATGATTAATGAATATCTTTCAATCTCCTTACAGGGATCTCAATACCGTTTCTAATTTATAGTGTGTGATCGGTTCCTACTTGGAGTCCAAATTGTTACTTTATCAACATTAGATTTTAATTAAGAGTGGAATATCAAAATAATTATTATTAATATTAAATGAATATCTAGATTAAACACCAATGATCAACTTCCACTTGCACTTTGAACTCTCTTTAATCTCACTCACTCCAAACAAATATGATGTAGATTAACCAGGTGCAGTTTTAACAACAAAGCAAAGCAGGAAGAACATTTTATGATTCTGAAGTTGCTCAAATTAGAGTTCATCCCCTGTTTACTAGCACAGAGCTCAAAAGGTGCAGAATTGCATGGAAATGAGTAAAACTCTGTGCAACCAATACATCTCAGAGCCTTGATCCATACCTCACTCCTTTTGTACTTGTTAGCAACAAAACTTGAATTATCTGCAAGTCTAAATCAAGAAATCAAGAATTGTCTGCCTGTAAGCAAGCAAGAACAGCATTGAGAAACTAACTATGCATCATCCGATAATTTCAACTAAAGATTTTTCACCATCATCCTCTCACATTAGGTAGTTCCTAGATCTTTCATTAGACTGGTACTAGTCTTCTTCTGTATCAATCTGGCAGAAGTGGAATTAGAAAATTATGACTTCATTGGTCACACTGTAGCCGATAGAATCAGTAATGCCACAATCATGGCAACAATAATTTTCTCTGTCAAAGGTGAGGTCTGTCAACAATCAAAATTTCCTTCCATGCTTCGTAAAACATCCATGTGATGCCTGATGAAGGCATGACTTTCAAACAGCTTGCACCCCAACCTCGGTAGAGACCCATCAAGCCCTCCTCACGGACAACCTCTGACAGGGCTGCTGCCATGTGGGGCGGACATTTCCCGTGCAGGGATCCAACCATCAGCCGCTTTCTTGCAACTTCCAGCGGAAAGCTGATGGTGCTTGCAGTTAAACCTAATGAGACAGAAAAAAAATGATTGCCGTCAGCTGAAGGTGTCCAACTTATGATTACCAGTCACTGTATCTAGTACTGTGTATATGTAGCAGTGTTCAGTTTTCATGTCTTAGAATTACTTCACCAGAAATTGGCATGCAACATGACATGCAGTTCTGTTACTCATATTGCATTCAATTTGAAAGATATAACTAAGAATAACCAGCAGCACTTCAAAGACTTACCAGCAAGAGCCCCAATAATCAGCATCTCTGGACGGTTCAGTGACTTCTTCTGCTTCGTTTGGCAGTAAGAGTTCTTCATGGTATCGTACATGAAATAGTAGCATGTACTGTATGGAAGCATCCCAATTAATGTAGGCGATAAGCCAGCATACAGACCACCAATTCCATCTTTCTTATATATCCTACTCAAAGCAAGGGTAATGCTGGGGTAGGTTTCTCGGTTCACGGTCAAACGATCCTGTAATGTTAGGTTGTAAAAAAGATAAGAAAACATCAAATGAACATTGCATCTAACCTTCCACTTTGACGTTAAAAAGAATATATGAAAGTAACATATTAGAAAGTATAGTCAGCTAGAACACTTTACTACAGTATCAGCATCTATCAGAGCGCAACATATTCTATTAAATCCAATCCAATACAATGAATGGTGCCAATTTATGAAGAGGGCTGCAGCTACTTTTTCACTTTAACCATTCAGGCATATAAGCATTTCAAGGATAAAGATATTTATGTTTGCTAGATAATCTGAATGAAACATAAATTGCTTCACCAAAACATTCATGAACTACAATCTGGTCCCTGAACCATAATGGAAGAAATGCTAACCAAGGGGATATTATTCATCTAGCTTAAATTATCGATAGACAACAGGTACAATGTATACCCTAATTGTTACTGGAAAATTAACATTAATTAGGCTTATCAGAAGCCGGAAAGGTATACTTATCCCCCAAAAGCATTGAGATCCCTTTTAAAGTGTGCTAAACTCAAAGGATGCCTTCATACTGTGCAGAAGTTTCAAAGAATCTTTATCCAGAATCTAACACTTTTAGAACAAAAAAACTTCAGCAACAAACACAAATATGAAACATTCAGAATAAAAAATCTGGAGCAATGGAATCCACAATATTTGTTTCACCAATAAAATTCTGTGTTCCCAGATAAAATCAAAGCATGGAGAGGGCTTACAGTTGACATTTCATCTTTTAACTGGTTTCATAAATACAGGATTATGAATTATACAAGGCAATGTTACAAACAGATGGTAATAAAAGATCTAGTCTGAGATGATTAGTTTTCCAAAAACTGCAAAGTGGAAAAACATAAAAGAAGTTAAATAATAGCGATCATCAACTTTGAAGACTAATGCATTCACTTCAACTACACTTCTTAACCCAGACAAACATTGTAAAGCAGTAACTAATGTATCACCATCAGTTTCAGAGTCATTCTCTTATACCTTAAGAACTTCAAGAGGATGACAAACGAGTGTGCTCATAATGCCTGCAGCAGCACCACCGACGGCAACTGGAGAGATACATAGGAAGGACAAATCTAGATTGATATGACCAATCTGTATCTTTGGGCTTCCATTCTCTTTCCAATTCTCTTGTACAGATGTCATAGTCCGCTTGACACACTCAAAAGTACCAAGTTCAATAGCCTGGGTAGGTATAATCCGGAGCATGTTAACAGTATTTCCTGCCCAAAGTCCTTGCCAACCATTCTCTTCAATGATCTCTAGAAAACTTCCAGAAATGTGCTTGGATCCAACTCCAACCACCATCCTTGTTCTGCAATGCAGTACAAATGTTAACAGATAGTCTATAGGAAAAAT